TCTCATTCCCTTTCATCTCGTCCAAACTTCCACCACCATTTGTTCTGCCATGGCTAGTTACAGGCAAAAAGCAACCCCGAATCAGGCCCCTGTATAATATCGTGGCTTGTTCTTTATGTTGCTTTCGAAGTTGGAGTTGGAGAGCGAGAGGATATCAAAGTGTATGAGGCGGAGGCGGAGAACCAAGGCTCAGGCTCAGGCTGGAGCTGCTGACGCTTTCCATGGAGGACAACGAAGACCGAATATGCGTCAGACTCTCTAGCTCGGATACTTGAGCCTGTTGGTCTGATGCTGTATTTTAGCGTTGATATTTGGTTGCGTGCCGTGGCTAGAATCGTACATTTAGCTCCAAGTACACAAAAGATAAAATCAACCACAAGCTGACTCGCACCTGGGTGATCCTCGGAGCTAGTAGCGATATCGAACGCTCAGAAGAGCGAGAAGAGGGCGTTGAGTTCCAGTGCCAATCGAATAGTGAGACGTAGATGGCTGGCGAGATGAAATTTTCCTAGCCCGTGCGTCGCCAAAACTGCTCGACTCCAAATGTTGCATTCTTTTCAAACAGATCGTCTTGAATGGCGCGTATCTATCAAGCCTAATCATTAGTGACCGACTTTTCTGCTTGTCCGAAATTTATACAACTTGTTGTTGGAGAATTTTAGGCCGTGTATCCAAAACCTCCATGGTTTAGAACGAGATTAAATTAACCAAAAATTCCTGAAGCAATACCGGATGCTTGAACGGACATCTTCACTTATAGGTCGTAACAGGGTCGTAAACATTGGAGATGAAATGGTGGAGGCGAAGCAAATAAGCGCTCTTCCGACTCTTCATCAACTTTCACTTCAAGTCCATCCCAGAAAAGCACAAAGGTTGACACAACAAAAGCTGCTGGGCTTTCCGGATGCCATTCTAATATCATCACCGCTTTCTCCTCGGGCAGTAGTCTGAGTTTACAGACGCCCAGGCTAATACTTTGTTAAGTTTCTTAAGTTAATGTTTTCGGTGCTTTGCTCTCAATCACTAGATCTGGCATTAGTGGCTCCTTCTGTCCTTTGCTCCTTTCCTTCAGGTCTCACTGCATTGGCGCTTACTCCGTCCTAGAATACCATATCCGGCTTGTTTGCAAGCGGCAAAGAGAACATCAATCTCGTAACAACTTCGACTCAGTGGCTAGAAGTGCTTCGCCCTTGAGGAGCTCAATGGTTGCCTGATTTTTGAGGTAGAGTATTATCGCTTGAAGCATGCACTATCACTATGCACATGAACTCGTCACTTTCTGTGTAGTATCTGAAGTCGGTGACGTAAAGCAGGTCGTTCGAGCCTTCATCGTAACTGATAAATCTCCAAATTCTACGTGACTTTTTGAACCTACCCTCAATGACAGACTGGAGGCCCTCGTAAACGGTTATGAAGTAATGCGTCGCAAGTTGGTTTGAATTTCATTCACAGATGATATTGGTAAATACTCATCGCAATCTTTAAAAATACCACCTATCTAGTGCAGAGTTTTACTTCTCCCTCCAAGTCGGGACCACTTAAGGGTTATTCGCAGTGTCACCCTCGCTGCATCCTTCGCCAAATCTTCTCTTCCACACTTCTTCCTAGTACGCGACCATGTTTTTCCAGTGTGCACGACAAATGGCAAATATTGGGAAGGCCCTTAGGCCAGCTTAGGCCACCTTTATCCGACTACGGGAAGCTCTTGACTCTGGATTGTTTCACAAAGAAATCATTTACTTCCTGCAAATCGTACACTGCAGGCTTCAATAGTGCGAAATCGAAAAGTGAAGATGGCCCTGCAGTAGGCTATCATCTCGGATCTCGGCCACCGGACACAGACATAAGCATTGAGCTGCATACTTTATGATTCTTCATTGTACCATAGTTCATGATCACTTGAAGTAGTTCATGTCGGGTTCCGTCAATTGTTTACACGTAAGCGCCACCTGCACTCAGCGTAGATCTCTTGGTCTAGTGTACTGTACGCATTTCCGGCAGAGGATGATATGTAAATCGGTGCAAATCAAATCGCACAAGGTTTGCATCAAGGTTTGCTTTGACGATGGGAAGCAACTTTGAACATATCGATGCCACGAGGCGCGAACAGTCTTGACTCGGAGCTCCCATCGTCTCCGAAACAGTGTGTACCCTTGAATATCTTAAACCCTCTTCCGAGTAATGACCACATATTCTTTAGTCTTGAAATGACAGATCTTCCTCTCCGCTGTCCCTCATGCGGACACTCATCTACCGACTCCCCCATTGCCATTCCCCATCGTACTCATCGTGTTGAGAGCCTTCTCCAGTCGAACGAAGGACCAACTGAGGATGAAGAGCATCGATTTCGAAAGTTTGTCATCGAGGGCGAATCAGAGATTCAGTATCTCGAATATCGCATTGAGATGTGCAGGATTTTGTTGGATCACCTCGAGGATACCTTGAAGCGACTTCGAGGAGCTGTGAAAGAGCATAAGGAGATGCTCAACCCTGTCAGACGATTGCCGTTTGATGTGCTCCAAGAAATCTTCTTGCATGGGGCAGGGATGTATACGGATGCTGGATCCCATTTTGGTTCGATTTCCCACTCTTTGGATCTTACATCTCCCCCATGGGTTTATGGTCGTGTGTGTCGCTGGTGGAAGCAGGTTACTCTCAAAACACCACTGCTTTGGACACGTATCAAGGTGGTGAAGAGGCACTTGACTATGCGCCGAAATTTTACGGTCACTGGCAGTGTGTCGGTGAAAGGGAGAACTTCCTACTACACGGATACCAGTGCTTCGCGAACACCTCTCTCTCTGTCTCTGTTGTCTTTGCATCTGGGTCGTTCAGGTGGCCTTCCTCTCAGTGTTTACCTGGAAAAAATGGGCAGTGACACCACAACAGATGTTGGGCATGCTTTCTCCTCCTTGCTATTCTCCTACTCCCGTCGCTGGGTATCTTTATTTCTAGCTGAAGAACCGATCTCATCAAATTCATTTTCGGACGACTCTTTCCCGATATTAAATCATATCCATTTTCGGGAGACAGATTGGTCGGGCTGGCTTGGTACACCCTCAATTGATATCGTGGCACCACGTTTGCACTCGTGGACTACAGAGGGCCAACGTCTTCTCTATTTATCATTTCACCTGTACTCCCAGATTACTGAGTACACTGTCTCCCGAGTGTCACTTGCCGAAATTTTGAGGACTGTAGGGCAGCTCCCAAACATTCGCAGGCTGACTGTAGGAGAGATAAAACAAGAGGCAATAACCTTCCAAGAAGTTCCACTTTGCCTGCCATCCCTTTCCCATCTCACTCTGGAGCAATCTGGCAGTGGCTTCATGCTAGAAAAATTCATTGATTCAATTTCCTGTCCAGTGCTCACAAGTCTATCCATAACTACACAGGTATCTGTTATTGGATCCATCCAGAGACTTGAAGTGCGATCCAATTTCACTTTGGAGAGCTTGAACATCACCGCTCAAGCAGGCCTTGCTATGTTAGGGAACACTACAGGGATTAGATACCTTGTAGTCAGAGCTATAGGGAAGACTACAGACTATGTCCCGTTTATACCCTTGCAAGATATTCTTTCCCATTTGAGTGTAGCGAATGACCCCGGGGGATCTATTCCTACTGCTCCAACACCAGATCATCTTCTCTCTCCGGGTCCATCGACAGGAAGCAGAGATTTGATAACAGTGGTTCCATTCCCCAATCTCCATTGCCTGGAGATCAACCTCTGCTCATCACCAGTCCTAGAGGACAGTGATATAATGGCAGAACTCCTGACATGTGTGGTTTCTCGTAGTACCTCCTCAAGCAAGGTTAGCCTTGTGCTTGATGAAATTTTCATTGCAAGTCCGGATCGTATGGCAAGGAAGATGCTCGATCATGCATGCTTGAAGGAACTTCAATCTATGGGGCTGAAGGTGGACATTGTAGGCTTGTGACTTTGGTTTTGGCTTTCAAGTGTTTGTGTTGACTATTCTTGTAAGTACATGCTCGCCCTTGCAGGGTTTTCTATTTATCGAGTTTTCTTTGGGTGTTTCAGTGTATATACTGCGCATATACGAAAGGTTTAGCATTAAATAAGTACCTTCTTTTTTATATAGTAGAAATTAGCAATAGTCTCTTTATACCATAGGCTAGGCGCATTGCACGCGAGTAAACCTGCCAGCATCGGCGGGTTTCTTCTCCATCTTGTGAACCCATTCTGAGACAACCACCTCCGCATTTCATCTATCTTCTTCTGCAGCATGGAGTTTAGCTTCAAGTCGCGACTCACAATTGCCAGTGCCTCGACACCACCCTTCTGACCCATTCCTTGAATATTTCCTTCCATCGCTCCTTGTCCCACGCCTGTTCCTGCATTTGCTAAATGTTTTGTGTTCAACAAAAGCCTTCTCTATGATACCCCTCAGCTTTCATGCACTGCTCAGTGCTCAAGTCGTTCTTCAATGGAAGAGTTTCCTCTTCCTCCCCCTCCAGATTCCAGCTCTGATTTTCCCTCCATCCTCGACCTTCTATCCACAATTCACCTGCCTCGCCTCCTCTTGCATCAAATCTCCAAGATTCGGATGCGAGACGGCACTGACTCGGACTCGGAGGCATCTGCTACTAAAATTTCGCTTTGGCCTCCAAGTAGAATTTGACGAGGATGATCATGTAGTAGCAGGGTTGCACTCGGAGAGGTGCGAGGGCAAGAAAGTCAAGACTGGTGGAGAATGAAAAGGAATTCTTGTAGATCTCTCTGCCTATTACTACTTGAGTATTAGAAGGTGAACCGGGATTCAATTGGCGAGTTTTGTGAAGACTTGAAAGGAAGCTCAAGGTTAAGCGTAGCTTGGAGGGTTGGAAAATGAATATCCGTCATCCATAATCCGGAGCCATGACGAACGGAAGGAGTCAAAATCCGTTTGCTAGGTAGGACACAGATTATTAGTATTCAGAAATCAGAAAGAAAAAACACAAAAAGAACATATACATAAGGTCCTCGATCAATTGTTCATCTCCCTGGCTGGGAGTCGAACCCAGCTTTCGCGCGCTTGAAAAGTATCCTTGCCATGAGAGATGACAAGCGCGTGTACTAACCGATATACTACCAGGGAGTTATCTAGCGAAAAATGTATTTGGTAAATAGCACTTGGGGACTCAAAGCATACATGAACTGCATTCTGGCTACTAATAAGTAAATAATTATGTAGTATTGGGTATAATCAAGAAACATAAAGTACGGGAAGTAGTCATGTCCGTGTCCAAGTCGGAAGCCTAAGGGATGGTGGTGAGACAGACGGTCGTGTCGGTAAAGATACGATAATAGCAGTGAATGAACGAATGAGAGCGAGAGCGAGAGTGAAGTGAGATTAATGCCAATGTGAATGAACAATATTAATATGCAAAGCAAATGCAGAGAAGCAGGTGAATGTTATACAAACAGATGAATGGGAGTGACAGAGTATGCATGCATGTACGATGGAGTACCATAAATAGACATCATATCATGAACTAGATTATGGATTTGGAGGTGAATCCGATATAGGTCTCCCTGAATTCTGCATCAACCTCCGCAAACGAGCGAGTTCAGCTGCCAGTTGCCTATCATCCATTCAATTAGCATGCGTTCAAAAGTCAGTCGGTCGTCGTGAACATACCTAGCAGTCTCTGCAGTCTCCTCCCCTTCCTTGTCACTCTTCTCCACCGCCTGCTTGATCCTCTCAATCTCCTCCAGCCACCGACTCTCAATCTGCTTCGCCCTCTCCGTATCCTCATCCCTAGCCTTCTTGACATCTTCCTGCCCACTCCGACTAGCCTGCACTTCCTCCACAAGCCTGCGATACTTTTTCCCCATAACCTCGGCCTCTGATTTCCACTTTTCCTCTCGTTTCCGGATTTCGTCGCGTAGTCGATCTGTATCCGACTTCCACGACTCGGTGAGGTGTTTAATGCTTTCCCGGAGCGTAACATACTCTCGTTCGGATTTCTGCGAGAGGGCTGTCGACTCTGATAGAGCAGACTCCATCTCGCGGAGTGATTTTTTCGATTGCGAGGATTCGGATTTGAGCTGGGAGCGGAGGAGGGTGGCTTCGGATTCAGCTTTCCTCGCGCGCTCGAGAACTTCTTGGAGCAGTCTCTCCTTCCTCGCCACGACATTATTCAAACCTTCGTTCTCCAACCTGAGTCGTTCCCTGCCTTCTTTCAGGTCTTCAGTTTGACGAGTTAGAGTAGCGACGCTGCGTTGGACTGAGGCGGAGCTGGGCTTTTGTGTTTTCGAGCGCGTTTCGGGCGTTTATGACGCCTGTTTGGAGGTCTGCAAGGACTTTGGTTGTGCCTCCTGGTGTGAGTGAGGCTCGCCGGGGGTTTGGTGTGGGTGACGGTGGCGCTTGGAGGCCAGAAGGGGAAGAGGGAGAGGGAGACGTGGCGGTGTTTGGTGAAAGGGCGCCTTCGTCTGCTAGAGCTCGCGCGTTGCCCACAGACGCGACTGGTATTCCTGTAATAAGATTATTGAGGATTAATGCAGCAACAAAAGAGGCGACGTACGACTGAGCGTCCTCGTCGGACTCGACAGTCGTTTATACGCTGTAGGACTCATCATCATCGGTACACCTTCCCTAATCCCATTCACATTAGTCTCGTCCAAACTATTACCACCACCGTTCGTTCTCCCATGGCCATTTATAGGCAAAGGCAACCCCGAATCAGGCCCAGCTATTCCCTGTAAAACCTCGTAGCTCGTTCTTCGTGTAGCTTTTGAAGTTGGAGTCGGAGAGCGAGCTGAAGTGTATGATGATGGAGGCGGAGGCGGGGAACCAAGGCTCAGATTCAGGCTGGAGCTGCTGGCGCTTGCCATGGAGGACAAGGAAGACCGAATATGGGTTATAGTCTCCAGCTCGGATACTTGAGCTTGTTGGTGTCTGATGTTGTGTTTTAGCGTCGAAATTTGGTTGCGGACCGCGACTATAACCGTTCGCAATTAGCTTCTCCAGATAGATAACAGACGAATCTTACCTGGGTCATCCAGCGATAAAGCAGGACTCGGGGCTCGTATTGATATGAACGCCCTGAAGAGCGAGAAGAAGGCCGTTGGGTGCCAGGCGAGGACATGAACCAACGGAAAGAAAGCGATCACGGATATAGTATGAATGTGAGAAAATTCTATCCTTGTTTCGTGATGCCGCTCACAGTTTCGCTGGTATAATGGTGTTTGGCTCGAAGGAAAGCGCGTCGATTTACAGCGTCTCGTCCACTGAAGTGATATCCTCCGAACCGCCGACATTGCTGCCGGTTTCTTCCAATCCAGTTAGGATTCGGTCTCTGCTTCCATCCACATCAACCCGAGAAACCCTTCTCTGGCAGTTTCAACTCTGGTTCTGCACGGCTCTATAATAATAATGACGCCTCGTGCAGCGCCTGGCCCTAATCAGACCCAGTTATCCAAGTACAGCTTCCGCTATGGTCTGCACCGCAAATAGTCAATGTGCGATGAATACGACGCGATAAAGTTGGGAAGAGAAAATCCTCGATAGCATGCTCAGGCAGATCCCATTCTCTCTCCTACGCGTAATTGAACCTCATATTTCAATCCCCGAATCCAATGAAAACAAACACCTATCCTAGACTGAAACTCCATTCACAAATCGTACAACATAAACATCGCGGATATCACTCCATCCTAGACCCGACTCACTCATTGCTCGCACTCACTCCGTTTACACCGTATACAGCAAACGACGATTGTTTTGTTTCGTATTTTTCACAAGCCAAGGCCCGGTTGATCCTCCTCTATTCCCGTTCTTCGGCGACTGGCCAGGCATTTGACTGCTGGGTGCCACCTCCATCGATAGCTCGAGGTCTAACTTGACGATGCTGGCTAGAAGTCGGCGTACTTCGAGGAGTGTCCAGTGTCAGTACTAGTGTCATGATTTTTCGGCTTTCAGTCTTCGTCGTCACCAGACAAGTACTCAAGTACATCCGAGACGACATTGACAGGGCCCCGGAGGCGAACTGTAATCTGAGAAATTCAAGATACTGTATCCTTTTTTGCATCCTCGTTTCGTTTCATTTTGTTTCGTTTCGTGTTGCCGCTCCCAGTCTCATCTTTTACTCAATCTTTTACTCACTGGGTAAGAGTCATGAAGTTTCTTTAGCTGAAGGGATTCAGAAAACGCGTCCGAGGCCGGGTACAGTATGACTGATCTACGGGACACCCACTGAGGAGTCCAAAGTCAGTCATTTATCTTCTCCTCCACTATGTAAACCGCTATCATATTCACCAGACGAACTCCGAAAGTCTTTCAAGCTCTGAAAAAGATAGTTGTCCAAATAGCAAACTTATTCAGGCTGCAGGACTAGGCAAAGCTTCAAGTCATCTGCCCTTCCGCTAACTCCAGAGTCCAGACGTCCATTGACAAGCCCAAGCCAAGATTTCGATGAATTTCGAATTTCGACTCAACCACTTAAAGAGAGCAATTCTGAGTATGTACTCTCCAAGCAAGGCTCGAGCTAAAGCACCAAAGTCAGGAGCTTTCCTCGATAGAACAAACAGTTTACACTCGGACGATCACGGAAGAAAGCCTTTGCAAGCTGGAATGGTGTGTCAAGCAGCCAAGTTCGTCGAGGCAACCTATTGCCATGTAGTCTCTTGAAATCCTTGATGGCGAAGCTGATTTTCGATGCTGACATCGTTATCCAGCCCTTTTAGAGGTCAAAGTTATGAAAAGCGACTACTATATAAGGTTATATATCGCGGTGGAATGCTACAGTAAGTAGTGTGTACACACTGCTCAAACACCCTGTGCGCCTTTCACTGAAATCTCTGAGCAGCCATATCCACACTTCTTCTTGAGAGAATGCTATTGTCAACGACCGAAAGTGTCCTACTAGGATCATGTTGGAACTGGATATTCGACAGCGATGACCGGCCTTCGCCCGAGCCAGTATTTTCAAGACTCCAATCTGTGTTAGGACGTGAAAACCCAGCAGCGACGCGCAAGATAATGAGCATCGGAGCTATACCCTGAAATGGTGCCAATAAGTTAGAGACAGAGGATAGCCGTGGATCTGTGTAATAAAATCACCGTCATCTGAGCATGAATATTCTGTGCGATGTACCCATTGACATTCTTCTGCAGAGTCAGGACGACGAAAACGATCAGAGTTACGGAATACATTGCGGCGGACTCGACGGGAATTTCGATGACCGCATTGTAACGTTTCGACTTGCGACCAGTGAATGCAGTGGCAGTTGCTCTTTGAACTTGTACAATCCGGAAGATAAGCATAAGTGTGGTAAAGAGACTCGTGGCAATCGAAAGGGAGAAATATGCCGTGCTATATGCGACATATTCGTGGGTCTGTCTAGCCGCAGATTCACCTCCAGTTATGGATTTGACTTGCAGTAGGATCCCCTTGATTCCCAAAGCTAGAGAATACGTCAGCTCTCTATGAAAAAAATGGATGTAGGTAGTACATACCCAGTCCGCAAATCGTCATGACGGAAGGAAGCATGATAACTACCCAGCGTTTCTGCCACACCACCCAGCAACGCCAAATCTATATTCAATATTATATATCAAACTCAGGTATTGTGGTGTGAAATTAAAGCTGCATACAAATAGAATATCCGCGATTAATATGTTCAAGTTGAAGAAAACAGCATCGGAGCCAAATATCCCGGGCGGAATGTGGATGAATGCGTTTATCAAACCGGGACCTCCTGGAAGCTCGTTGTTATCGATAGAAGTAGTGTCGTAAAACCATTGGATAGCGACGTGAACGGTTGAGCACATATACATGAGTATAACGATCGTCCCGAGGTATATCTTCTTTCGGAGCGAGTAGCCCTTGTTATATGCTATTAAAAAGTAATTAGCTTTAACGCCGTTCATTTGGATTAGTTATAAGGAGTAACTACCAAGGAGATAAAGCGTCAAGAATACTCCACATGTATAGAGCCCTAGAACAGGATGTAGTTAGTGGTATTGTTCACATTCCGGAAGCTCAGTCAAACCATGCAGCCAAACTTCAACGGTAAGAGAATTGATAGAAAAAGGCGCAGAAGGCATGGTGGTGAAGCTTTTGGATTGCTTGAATGCTATTTTATGCGAGATCC